CCCCAAAACCCCAAAACCCCAAAACCCCAAAACCCCATATATTAACATCTGAATTGAAACACAAAAAGAAAAGGGTAAGAGGATTTAAAAATCATTCTGATTGGTTAAGGCAGGGAATTATTTACTTGCAACTAATATCTTAATGCTAGGAATACAGCGACTCCAGCAATGATCCATACAGATTCCTTCTCCTTTGTTGGAAGCTCAAGCATTAAAACATAATTCGTTGAGTGACCCGTAGTTGAGAGTGTACCTGCTCTCGAAAGCACTTTGTACACTGGGCAGTTGTAGATTCCTGTCTCTGGGATCTTTCTATTCTGTTTTGGCAAGAACCAGATCATTGGCAACTCAGTATAAAGCTGTTTGGGTCTTGAGGTGTCAAGCAAATGAGTGCTAGAGTTCCATCTTGCTCCTTCAATATACATTCCATGCACATAACACCCATCTTCTGGTTTCTCTTTCACGTCTTGCGGAGAGATGTCATCATAAATTTTAAACTGGAAGGACAACTCATCAATAGCAATAATATGCTTTCTCGTATAATTTTGGAGAGTCCCTGTCAAGAAAGCTTGTGGGAAGAAGAATCCACTAATCCAGAAGACCGCTGGAGTGCCACCTTCTATCCAGTCACTTAAGAACTTCACTCTGTCGTTCAAATCTTGCACCCATGAAGCTAGCGGCTTTAGAGACAGGAAACCAACGGCTTCCCAGGGAGCCGGAACTGTGTTATCGAACAGTGAATTTGCTAGCTTCTCGAGGTCTTCACTCATTACTAACTCTCCGACAAGAGCCTTCTGGATGTCTGCCAAAGTTGTGGTCATGATGTCCAGCAGCTTATTGTACCTCAAAACCTCCTGAGTGAGCACCGTGTTCATGGACTCAGTAAGCTGCGTTGGGTATTTCTCGAATACTTCTTCGAATGGGAATGGTTTCGGAGTCTTACTTTCGATGTACCTTGCAAGCTCCATTATCACTTGATCTCTACTCTTTCCTCCTGAAGAACTAGCTCTTGGCTGGATAGACAAGATAGTAGCAAGCATGCCTCTCGTCTCAGCTTGCTGGGTTGTTATTTGAGCGTTTTCATGTAATCCGAATACTTCTGGTGATGGGTCCAAAGGGAGTTTAGCAATTTCTTCAAGATAATGCTCCTGAGATCCAGCCTTTGGCGACACATACTTGCCGCTCACCGAGAAGCTATATCCGTCTTGCAGGATCTCCGGGGTGATGTACTGCTCCATGATTGTGCTGATGAGCCTCTTGTCTTTGTCATCTGTGACTCTTCCCCCGTAATTAATCTGAGATCCTAAATACCTAAGTACTTTATAGGGGACGCCGTCACTCTCGTCCAGGAAGATCTTTAACTGTCTTCGGCATACTGTCAAATCTTCGGTAGTGAACCCATATCTGATATTCCAGCCGATTGGTCCAAACTTACGCCTGTCCTGAACAATGGCATGGAAAAAGCAGAATCCAAAAAGCAGTTTATTTGAACTCAACTGGTTTGCTACAACTGTTAAGCTCTCTGTCGTCCAAAGCAGTGTAGGATCTTCTTAAGTTTGCTCTCAGCCCTCTTGGAGGTTCGAGGGTCATCTTAACTGAGTTCTGAAGTGTCGAAACTGGGAATTTCGGAGTTGGCATTGAAGTAAGCCACATTCTAAAGTCTGGGTGCACTTCATCATCGAGCTGCTGCACTTCTCTTGCCAGAGCTGGCATCCACGAAATCGACAAGTGGCAGTTCGCCAGCAAGCACCATTTTCCATTTATTTTGGCATCCCTGATCATATTTTCTGCTCTCTTGGCCATTCCCTGTCCGAGGGATATAGTGTTCTTCCGATCGCCCATATCTCTTTCTTCTGCGAACTTGTTGAAATCTGCAACTGGATCTGTACCTGAACTCAGAATGAAGATGAGCGGCATCTTGGAGCTGGAGTCTCTGTACGATTTTGAGATATCGAAAGTAGGAGGCTCAATGAATTTATGCCCAGCCTTCTCGACAATAAAGTTCTGGATGGCATTCACCATTTTATCAGGTCTGATACATTTTAAGACTATCATTTTCTGGAAGGAATTCAGCTTCTCGTTCCACTCCCCTGGAAGAGGCTCCTCGTGAGCATCAGCCGAGTCGAATATCTTCTTGAACCTCTTGTGATATTCGATGAAGTATTCATCTATTCCTTTGAAAGCAGGTAGTTCGCTCATTCCGTTGATCTGCTTGTAAGTTTCAACCCATTCGAGTTCGTCAAGCCAGTCTGTGGGGTTTGGAACAATATCGATTTCTCCGCTTGGGCCTGCTAGGAAGTATCTCCACTCAGCTGGGTCGATGAGGTTTCCTCCGAACAAGATCTTCACAATCAGGAGAAATGAGAACAAAAGCTTATGCTCCTCGAACAGACCTCTGCACACGTTTTCGTACAGAGCCAGAGTGAAGAAGTCGTTCAAAATTTGGGTTCTTTCGACTGGATCCTCAGATTGCTGAGAGCCGGCGACTGCGTTCTGGAATAAAGCCTGGAACCACTGGAGAGAGTTTTGGTACATTGGATCGATGGTAGACATATCAGTGACGCAGAAGAACAGCAGCGAAGCCCTATACGCAACATCTCTAAGGCTTTCTCTCTTTTCATCGATTTCCTTTTCGGTAATTTCAGACTCCTTCATTCTCTGGCCAATTTCGGCAGAAGTCTTCCTTGAAGCTTCGAGCGTCACAATCAGCTCATCGTCTTCCAGGATTTGTGAGATCTGCTCGTTCTTGGTCAGTCCATGCAGGATCTTGTCTTCGATGTCTCTAAGCTGCTTTGAAGCTAGGGCATTGTCTTCTACAATCTGGTCCTTCTTCTCTTGGAGCGCTGGCATCTCAAGCTGAATGAACTGATTAAGCATTTGCTCTTCTAGCCCTTTGGGGGTAATGGCAAAGTTCAGAATGGCCACTTTCACTGAGGTCTCTGGCGAGTAGTGAGGATTTGGCAAAGTAGTGGTCATGAAGAATTTGAAGTCATCATTGTAGTCGATAGTCTTGTCTCCAATTTTGATTGTATAACTGTTTCCAGTTTTAACTTTTTGCTGAAGAAGGACCGGCTCTAAAGCAGGATCAAGCTCCTCTCCAACATCTTCAAGAAGAATCCAGCCTCCGTGCTGTATAGCGATTTCGATGTTTCTCAAGAGTTTACTTTCGGATGGTTTGAACGACTGGATAGGCTGTGGTTGATTCTTGCCAAGGTTCTTGACGAATTTCTTTGCCTGGGTCTGAGGGTCAATCATTAGCGGCCATCTCCTCGATTTAAACATGATTATGCCATTTTCAACAGAGAGGTCGTCGTTCGGAAGGCCTGCCACATTCCAAATTCTGATTGTAATATCATCTCCCAAGACCTTGCTCATCTTAATGTTTGGAGTATGGATGATCTTGAGTCTCTCAACATGCTTATTCCATGACTGTTCAAGTTCTTCTCTGAAGTCCATTGTGAATGCTCCTGAGTAAGACACCATTCCTGCTGCAACGAGTCAGTCTCCAACCAAAAGGTCCTTCCTTTCTCCAAGTTGCTTCACAGTTTCTATCCATCTGATCTTCTCCCCTTCAAGGCCAGAAATGAGCTTCTCTGCCCTTTCCAGCTTCTTCTTACAATCGGTGATTTCCTGGTTCAAGTCCTTCTCTTTCTGAACCATTTGCTTGAACTCAGCTTCGAGACTTGCGATCTTATCGTTGACTGCCTTCAGCTGGGCCCTCTTCTCAGCCAGGGCCGCCTGGACCTTGGCCAGCTTCTCCCCCATTTCCCGAGCAAGCTCTCTCTTGGGGTTGACGATTTTGAGGACGTCGTGGTACTTGATCATGGCGTTACACCAGATGTGGACTGCAATCAGGGCTTTGGAGGCCTTTGTCACATTTTCAATAGAAACTTCTTCTTTCTCAAGCATTGGGCGGACTTTCGCAACAAGGGCATCTGGAATGTTGTCTTTGTCGAAGTTCAGCATCTTTGCAAGGAACTCAGTTGGGTTGTTGAGCAGCTGCCTCTTCGCTAAATCGAAGTAGCCATCGGGGTCGTGCTCAGCCTTCTTCGGATCATTGGGTTTCTTTGCTTTGCCGGCCCTCATAAATATGCAAGTGATCTCAAACATCTTCACCACTGTGGCCGTTGGCACTGGCGCTGTCTTTAATTCGTAGAATGAGTTTTTATCAAGAGACTTAAGCTGCTTGGTGGCTTCAGCGAGAGCTGGTTCAGCGATGGCCAGTTCGTCAAGCGCAGATTTGTTAATCGCAGCAACCTCTGATTCTTGTACAGCAGCCTCTTGCTCTTCAGCAGCAACGACAACTCTTGTTTCTTCTGCAGCTTCAGATTCCTTGGCAATGATGTCCTTAGTCTTAGCTACTTCTATCTTGGTGGCTTCGAGCTCTGGCTGCTTTTTATCTAGCATTTCTCTGAGATTTGCAATTTCCACAGAAGCTTCAGCAAGGACGTTAAGCCCTCTCTCAAGCCTGCTCTTCTGGCCTCCGAAATATTCAGTTCTTTCTCTCAGAACGGACCGGTAGCAGCTAAGGAGTTCAAGATAGGAGGTTGGAGTGACATAATTATGTCTCCTCGCCTGGTCAAGGAACCTCACAGACATACTTTCTACGCTTTGATGGATGATCTTGAACATCTCTGTGACTCCGTCGAAGTAATCGTCTATTCCAAGATCGGTATCTTGCAATCCTCCCTTAGCTACATCGAGCAAAGCTTCTTCAGGCCAGTTTGTGAACCAGTCAATAGTACAGCAATTTACCAGGGATGGGAACTTTCTCAGTCTTGCTCTGAAGATCTCTCCCATCGGACTCATTGCCAATATTCAATGGATATTATTCTTGACTCTGGCAAGATAGCTGGAGAACATGTTCATCTTAGAAAGTGGGAGATCTCTCCTCAAGCATTCTTCTTTCCCAACCTCATTAATTTCCTCCATATCCTCTATTTTATACAAGCCTGGAACATCCCCTGAGTTGAGGACATTGCTGATATCTTCGAGCATCTGCTCATCGACAATCTGAGTGTCAGCAAATAAGAAAGTAGTTTGTTTGCCCTCTACACCACATTGCTTCAGACATTCTCTGAGGCTGTCTCTCCACATCGTCATGTTGAATCCTTTCGTCACTTCGATCTGGAACAAAGAATAGTTGTTAACATAAGTGGCCAAGCGTGCGAGCGATTGCCTTCCAGATCCGCCAACTCCAAGCAGCAAGGCGTGTCCTTTTGGCTGTCTCAAGATCCTGCAGATTCTGGAGACATGGTCTCATGCATCCAGGAACATGACCAACTTCATCGGGTGCTTGACGCCGTCGTTGTACTCTTCAAGGAACAGCTTCATTTGAGAAATCATTTTGTCAACATCTTCAATTATTTCGTATTCTCTTGGGTCAGCATCAATTCCTCTCATGTAGTCTCCGAAGATGATTCTTCCTCCTCCATGGATCTGCTCTTCGGTGATGTTCAGCTTCTCAGAGAACTCTCTGTTGACAAGTCCATCCAGGGTGTCTCGGTCTGCGTCAGAAACCATTCTATCTCTGAAGACTCGGTAGTTTTCGTGGCACCACATTTTGACCAGGTCTGGGACAGCCACGACGCTCTTCGGACTGGCAGCGCATATTCCTTGGAAGACCTTGGAGACGTCTCTCAAGTTGAAGGTGTAGTGGCTCTTGGCTGGGGTCGGTCTAAGCTCTTTTGCCACATTCTGGTAGATACTGTAAGTCATATCCATAACAGTATCTAGTCAGTTTTTGACATCCGCGCTAAAGTTTCCTAAAAATCCTTTCATGATTGTAGAGAAAATCTGCTTGATGCTTGACTCTTGAGGATCTGTGTAAGTGACAATGTTGAAGTGTCTCATCATTCTTGGAGTGATGTGCGACCTACCTCCTCCAGGAGGTCCCATGGCTGATACGAGAATGATGTCTTCGATTTTTCTGAAGCTCCTCTCTTTGCTTTCTCTATCGTACCACCCTCCATGGTCGAGCCATTGCCTGAGGAACTCGATTGGAGGCTGAGCTCCGTATTCTTCCTTGCTCGGCATGTTTAAGTCATCGACAAAGATTACAAATCTCCTTCCTGGGGCAGGGCCGAACACTCCTCTGGCTCTCTTTTCAAACTTCTCATCAAGAGCGTCCTGAGTCTGGTTGGCTGAAGTCTGGGCAGAGAAAGTGATGGCAAGAGATTGGTATTCCTCGGGCATTTCTTTTGTCAAAAGCTCTTCAATATTGACGGTCTTGCCAGTTCCTGTGCCTCCTGGGCATAAGACGTGCTTTTTCTGTCAGATAAGAAGCTTCTTGAAGTACTTCATTCGGATTGAATCAGAGGTGGGAACAACGATGTCTGTATAATCTAGTCTTGTGTTTACACTGAACTCAGGAACTGTTTCAAGCCAGTCAACCCAAACTTTATTTTTGATATCGTAGCAGAAATCATGAACGAGTCCTGTCGTAGGAGGGAGCCCTTTGAATTCTTTGAGTAACTGCCTAAGCTTGGAATCGAATTTCTTTCTTCCATCCAAATCGGTAGTTCAGCCGAATGACCATACAACAGCATACACAAACAAAGGCTCAATCATTGCCTCAAGCTCATCTATTTCTTCTTTCGTGATTGCATGGGCCTCGTCGTCATAGTAAGGAGCGAAGTATCAGTCGAGGATCTTACAGAACGAGGTGGTTAAGTTGTTCTCCATTACAGCAATTAGTGAATGCAGCTCTTTTCCTACAAAGGCCATGACTTGACCATTGTAATCTTCTACATATTTCCGTATCTTTTTCGATAATTTATCGCTCAGCTGGAAGGGAGGAGGGAAAGTATTATACCACGATTCATACAAGCAAGCTGTCCCAAGTGCCACTGGCTCCATATAGACCATACCACACCTCGACACAGTGGCTGGAGAAGCTACTTCGAGGTCTTCTACTTCAAACATCATCGTCATCCTTTCGGTCAAAGGAATTATTTGGCCACTGTTCAGACACAGCTTCTTGTTGTCATCGAGCACAGTGTTCATACTCTCAATCCAGAGCGCATCCACAGGTCCGTCCAGCATGATCCAGTGCTTCTCTGGGGACTCATCCGAAGCACAGTTTTCGATTATTTTGGCTAAGACTCCATCAATCCACTCGGTTGTCTGCATGTCAACTTCGCCGTACAACTGCCCCATCGTGATACTCTTGGGGTTCAGAATGTGAGTGTTCACCTTGGTGAAGCCATTGCTCCCTTCCAGGGTAGTTATCGAGTGCTGCAGTGTTTTGTAGTTGCTGGTCTTTCCTCCTTGAGTGGGGCCAACAAGCATCAGTCCATGTCTGACAAGAATTGTATCGTACAGCTGGATAATCTTGCTGATGAACGCTTCTTCTGGCTGTAGATTAAAGTGCTCACAAGAAGCATGTAGCTGGCCAAATAAGTCTCCATAATCGATCTCAGGATTGGCAACGCCAGGGAAAAGATCTTTGATGATGTTCTCGAACAATGGGAGATCATCTTTTAAGAATTTTGGAACGTTTACATCTCGGAGAGCTCTCAAAAGCAGCTTATCCTCTTCCATTTCTTGGTCCTCTCTCTTCAGTCTTCCTGCTGCATTGATGACTGACCTGACAGCCCTCATCCCGTAATCGTAATGGCACTGAGAAGACAGCTGCTCTGAGGAAAGCCTGAAGGTAGAAACCATTTTCTCTGCAAGAACTTTGGCGTCCTTGAAACCGAACGAGTAGAGCATGATCTGGCCGATAAGTGCGTAGTCAGGGACCATCATTGCCATTGGTCTGAATAAAGCCTTGAGGTTATCTGGGAGCTCAGTCCTTCCAGCGTATCCTGGGTTCATTGTAATAAAGACAGAGAATGTGGGCTTAACTTGGATTCTACTTCCTTCGAAAGTAATTTCATCGACCCCTTCAGCTTTAGCATCGAAAATAACGAGCAGTTGCTGGGCAATTACAGACAAGACCTCAATGTTGATTCTGTTGAATTCGTCAAAACAGCACCATGCACCGGCAGAGGCGAGTCCTTTGAAGAACTTGCCAAGCATCAAATAATCCATACCGTCAGAACAATTGAACACAACGCATTGCTTTGCCAGAGCCTTGGCCAAATCTTTCGTACTCTCCGTCTTGCCTGTTCCGGCTGGGCCAGCTGGGGCTCCTCCCATGTTCAGCTTCAAGGCTCCCATGAGAGTAATGTAGCACTTATCAGTCAAGGGAGTAATCACAAGTCTCAGCGTGTTTCCAAGGTATTCGTACCCATACGGGAAGTCAGTCTGGGCCATTCTTACTCTGCAATCATCGTTCTCCCAGTAATACCTGAGCTGCGAAATCCACTCGAATGAATGAACGTCAGTGATTCCCAGATCTGCCAGGTTTTCGACAACATCTTTCGCATGCACATCGATTACGATCAAGGCTCCGAGGGCGACACTCTGAAGTTTAGTAAGCTTTGCTCTGACAAGAGTCACAGTATCTAGCAATTGGCTCTCTAGCTTCTGGAAGTACTCTTTGATGCCATCCTTCCCTTTCTTGAATGCCTCTTCAACTTCGGTTGTCCAGTGGACCTGAGACCCATTCAGGACACACTGGCCTGGATGACTCTTGATCCACTCTGTTCTTGGAGCGTCACTATAGTTCTCTATTGACTTGAGGAGAACGTTTTTGACGCTCATAACCATCATATCTTCAACATCTCCCATCCAGAACTCAACTCCTCTGTCTTTGGGGTCAACCTCATGAACAAATTCGATTCTTTCCCTTTCAGAAGAAAACATTGCAGAGATTGTGTTGTCAGGGTTGAAGTGCACATCAGCAAGATTCTCGAACACTTTCCTCAAATGAGGCCTCACATTCTGCACATCTTTCGTCTGAGACAATATCAAAAGAAGGTCGTCGTTGGAGAGGAAATAGAACCGTGCAAAGACTGCCCTCTTAGACTCTAAATAGTCTTTGAGTCCTTTCTGGACGATGTCAAGGTCTTCATTACACTCGAGGAAGTCTTCTTTCAGCTGAGGGTCCTGGCAGATTCCAAGGACATTTGGATCTTCTTTACATCTCTTTAAAACACTCCTCCACTTTGCATCAACTGCTTTGAACTTCTTGTTTTCAGCAGGGAGCTGCTTCATGATATCTGGAGAATCAAAGATTGGTTGGAGGTAAGCCCACTGACCTTGGCATCATATCCAAGCTTCCAAAGTGTCGGTCATCAGCATCAGAATGTCATACCATTCTTTGATTTGATCTTCAAACGGTTTCTTGAAAGGGGAGAACTGCATTGCCTGAGTTTTCATGTTTTGGTCATCAAGTCAGTTCAGTGCCTCATCAAATCCTGTGCAAGTGTAAGTTCCACTCTTCTTGAAAGGGACGAGGAAGAATTCGATGGACTCCCACTCAGCCTTCATCTTCTTCAGCTCAGTCTCAATTGTGTACTCTTTGGATGCTACTTCTCCGACATCTTGGCAAGCTGGAACATGGTCAACAAGCTTCAGCTCAATCAAGCTTTGGAACGTGAAGTCTTCTGTTGGCTTCACTTCAAACCCAACTGCCTCAGAGAGTTGCTGCCAATGTCTTTCGTAAACTCCGTCCTTTCTCAGAGCGACGGCGATTGGCACGAGAGGCCTGAACTGGTCGAGGTCGGCCTTGACTGTTTCAGCAATTTTCAGAATGTCACTTTGCTCTTTCTCTCTGAAGTACCTGATCACCTTGTTCGACGTTTTGACGTAATGAATGACTTTCTCTTCCATGTCAGGGGCATCCAGCTCGTCCCAAGGATCGTTGAGCCATGACCGGTGGTTAGTAAACCAGTCATCTGCAGTCGTCCAGAGGTTGTAGTATGGCTCATATTCCTTGCTCAGCACAGTGAGGTTGCTGTAGTCAGTCTCGTTGAGCCCCATCAGCCTTTCTCTGTTGGTAAACCTCTTGGCCTTCTCAGTGAGCCTTCTTCATATTTCATGAGTGTTCCTCACAATCTCGGCCACTTCCTGGCTTTGGTTGATTTGGTTGTATTGTGAGAGAGTAGAAATCGTTGTTTCCAGCTGGGCGACCTCTGCTTTGAAGTTAGCCTGGTCTCCGTACATTTGGTTGATCAACTTTTCTTTTTCCTTTTCCAAGTACATTGTCTGCCTCTCAATCAAATCGAGAGTGTCCTTCGGAGATTTTTGCATTTGATGTTTTCTTTTCACATCATCATCTTCAAATGTGTAGTGGAAGTTATCAAGAATATTATAAATTTTGAGAGATTCTAGAATCTCTACATGCATTTTGTCCAGATCGTTAGCTCACTTTTGCATGAATTCCTTGATCGCTGTGAGGCCTTCGATATGATCAGGCTTTCTGTTTACTTTGTCGTGAATTTCTTTGAATTTCTCAAGAAGCACATCAGTAGATTGCTTTGCTCTTTTGGCGATGATCTCGATTTCTAGCTCTGCAATCTTCTTATGTTTTCCACTCAAGTGATCTCTGAAGTCTCTGCAGTCAATCTTGAACATTGAAACAACAGCGAACTCTGGGATTTCATCCAGAAGCTTCTGAGCTTGCTGCTGGTGGAACCTGACGTCTTCCTCAAGCTCGTCTACCTCAGGGGCGTCTGCTGCATCGTCGCCTGGATCTTTGCCTTTGATGTACTCTTCGACGTTGAGCTTGTACTCTGTTTTCCTAAAATATAAGGCTATTGTTACTTGAGTTTCTCCAGATATTCTCACGATATAAAGTCATCCATGGGATAAATAGCTCTGACTAGCTCACTTCTGAGGTGACTGTAGGCATCCCAGACCCAGAGGTTTTCATCTTCCATTACTCGCTTGTCATTCGGATCACCTTTGACAGGCTCGGTCCTTGGTCTCTTGGTGGCTTTGATTTGCATGCCAGTTTCTTTCTTGAATAGGTGAGGCATAATCTTCTGCTCGAGCTGGGAGACTTCCTGTAGTTTCTCAATTCCGGTATCGAAGATTTGCATTATGTTTGAAACAACGTCTCCTGGGTCAACAGAGTACTGAGGAGATTCCCCTCCTTCTTCAAGGACGAGGTCGATCGAAAATAGAGGAATTGGATCTTGAGAGGTATGGTAAGGGTCCTCGTCCAGCTTGGCCTGCTCCTCATCAGTGACGAACTTGTTGACAATGTCATTTAAATCGTTTACCTGACAACTGAGAGGCAAGAATGAGATAATGGCGTCTTTGAACTTGTTGACAGACTTCTTTGTCAATATCAATAAGGCGTCTTGCATTATGAATTTTACCTGGGTCAGGAGTTTCTTCAGATTACCGATCTCATAGACTTCTCTATTAGTTTCATTTAGGTTGAACCATCCATCTTCAAGGCCATTGAAGTTTCCTTTGATGATGTCCTTGATGTTATTTGACCCAGGTTTCTCTTAAGTAGTAAGATGTCTGCGAGATAGAGGAGTTTTGAATTTGCTTAAAGTCTTCAATACCCATCGTCTTGTTGATATTTGGATTGTAAATTTCTCTTCGAGTAACATCATTACACTCTTTCTTAATATCATGCAAAGTTACAACCACCTCTCGAGTCTTGAGCAGAGTTGAGGCAGTAAAGTTACTCACAGTTGATGTGTAGTCATGTGCTGGAATTTCGATCATTCCGAAGTATTGAGTCTCCTCCTTCGGAGGCTCTGGAGGGAGAGTCAAACTTCCGGTAATAAGTCCGCTAGCGCCTTTCTCCTTGAGGTGCTTGTCAAAAATAATCTTGTTCATTGTCTTAGCGAAGTCAAACTGGATTTCATTCATGAGAGTAGTGTCGGCAGAGCTTTTACCTCTTAAGGCCTTAGTATTCTGAGTAAGCATGAGAATTCTGTCGATCTTCTCGCTCTCAATATCTTGTATTTCAAGAGTTGGCATGCTTTCAATATAGTAATAATACTTGATCAAAGAGTCAGCGTAAATTCTGGTTTGGTAGGCATGTTTGAATCTTTTAACGAATTTCTTAGGATCCTCATCATCGAAAAGAATAAAAATCCTTGGAAGTTTAGCCTTTTGGTTAATATGCTTAAATACTCCTTCATATCTTCGAGATTTAGGAAAATATCTGGTGATAAGGATCTCTCTCCAATAACAAAGAGCATCTCTATCCTTCCAGAGGCCTTTAGCCTTGACATGTTTTCCATCAAATTTATTCTTCAGCCACCCGACTGGAGTTTTGGTATCAAAGCTATCATCGTCGTATGCTTCGAGTGGGAGCCAACCGCCAGGAGCTTTTTCTGGGTTTCTGAATTCTACTCCTTCATCAGCCAATAGCTGCTCAATATCGTGCTCTGAATAGTCTACTTTCTTATTATTTACTGGTTCTGCTTTCTTAGGTGAGAAGGACAATAGCTATACAAAATATTAAGCCATATCCTTTTCATAGTTCGATTCCCTTACCTTCTTATGAAGCCTCTTCTCCTCCTTCAATTGAGGGGGCTCTTCAGGGGGATGCGGGTTAAACCTTTTCTTAGATGGAGAGCCCTTGCTCTTTTTGAGAGTCTTGACTATAGTAAAATTAGTTCTGGGACTCAGTAGTCCAACTTACAACCTGTGCTGTTTCCTTCTTTCTCCATTTAAATTATTATAATCAATTCAATTTAAATTTTATTTTAAGGGGTTTTGGGGTTTTGGGGTTTTGGGGTTTTGGGG